CTCCTCGTCCTGCTCGGAGTCGGCACCCTGTCCAGGGTCCTCCACCTCCTCCAGGGCCGACTCATAAGACTCCTCGCTGTCGGAGTCTGACGGCAAGCTCCAACGGCTCCTGCCGGGCCACAACAGTTACTGTGTCTAATTTAAAGCACCACAGTTTAATATTTAAAGAAACTGAAAGGAAGGAAGAACAAGGAGGTAGAGAAGGAACCGTTGTTCCTTGAGAAAAGGGAGGATATTACAACACTTGCTAAGCAACTGAAAGAATGTAACAGAGAGGAAGATCCTGTTCTTTTTTCATCCTGGAATGCAGGATGCGGAACAATCTTAAATTACAGAAGATTTCCAGTTGAAGAAACTTTCTAATACTGGTAGTAAGAGTAATTCAACAGGGGAACTCGCTATTAAAGGAGACAATGAACAGTGGGCAAGTTTAAGTAGGCGCTAGACAGCTGCCCATTAAAAATATTTTGAGTCGGGAAGCTGTTCTAGGAAGGGGCAGGACCGAGTGGCTCAATGGTTCCCTTGTAGCTCTAGGATTCTGTGAGGTTATTCTTGGCCATTACATTTGAAAAGCATAGGATGAAGCCAATTGACTTAAGGGCGCACCCTCTCTAGTAGATATTCTCCTAATATTTTTTTTCTCGGCCATTTTTTTTCTCAAGCTAAGTCAACAAACAAGGTTGTATTACATTACAAGAAGAATGTTATTCACTGGGAAAGGTGCAGGCTTGTAAGAATTTATAGACCAAAATCATTTGTGGTGCTTTGCTTCTCTTTTGGGGAAAATCCAAGCGCCATATATTACAATCAGTCTTTTGGAAGCTGTGCTGGTACAACATGAAAGATTAATCTTCTCTCCTCCATTGTATGTTCCAAAGTTCCTTTGACATGTTGTTTTATTTATATTTGAAAAGGTAAAAAACCTTCCTATCTGTTTGCCTTACTGCAGGGGAGAATTTTTCCATTGGGAAGTAAATAAGAATATGTCAGGTTCTTTTTTCTAATTACTGTGTTAAACAGTAGGCGTGCCAGCGATTAAGGTGACTCTAATAATAGAGACGTTTATCTCAGTTTCGGAATCTGATTCCATGTAAAACAATCATAGAAATGCAGTAATCCACAGCAAGCTTTTTGTTTAGAGGTTAGCTAATCACGAGGAATCTCGTGTTATACTTTTATTATTACTCTGAATTACCACGTGCTGTACTGTAGGTGTGGAGTCAGTGGGGAAAAACATTGAGGAAAATCTTGAGACCAATAATAGAAGATCCATGCAATAGTGGAAGAATTTCTGTAATTATTTCCTTGTTTTGCAATCCTCAGTGTATTTCCATTCATCAAATGTGCTTAACTTTGATCCATCATCATTATTATTACATATACCACTGTTAGGAATTTGACAGGTGGTTTAGCATTTAGCATTAGCAACTTTTCTCCAAAGAATATTAAAATAAATATCTACAATACTGTTAAAAAAATCAAGCACCTAGTATGGAGGAATAAACTGGAATTCTGACAAAAAAATGCCCCCTCTATTCCCTGCTAAATTGTACAGGTTCTCTGCTTTTCTCTTTGATTGGGTTTCCAAATCTGGAATTTAAAGTTTATAAACATACCCTTGTGAATCGTGACCCGACAAAACCGCGCCGATAAAATCACGATGTCGATAGCACGCCCACAAAGGCGCACCGACAAAAGCGCGCCGACAGAAGCGCCATTACGGTTAAGGTAAGGGTAAGGGTTAGGTTCAGGGTTAGGTTTAGGATTAGATTCAGGGTTAGGTTCAGGGTTAGGTTT